GCCTCCAGGATCACGGCCACGGCTCGGCGGAGGTGGACACCGCGGGGGTGTCTGGTGAACGCGTCGTTCCGTCCATGACGCGCCGTTTGGACCGCATCTTGAACGAGGTCGCTCAGCCGTACGACTGGGTTATGATTCTGGGTGGGACGAACGACATCGGCTCGGGTCTCCGGGCTGAAGATCTTTAAGGCTTTTAAAAGCCACAAGATTTGTTTTATAGCTAGAAAAGGCCGCGTATAGTTAGCTACTCACTTTGAAAAGTGAAAATGTAAGAAAGGTGTATATACCTTCAACAATGACAGTAGTTCCAGCAAATGAACTTGTATCAGAGCAGTTGATGGTAATCTCAGTTGTAAAGGTGAATGTGAATGTGAATGTTGAAATAAGATGAGTAGCTATCTACGGTGGCCGATAGGTGCCATGCCGATATTCATTCCGTTTTCCATTCCATTTCCCAATTTCCAGCGATGCGTTCCAAATGCTGTTCTTGATTTCCGGTTTTCTAACCTGCGAGCTGGCAGCTAGGGGTAAGAGAGTGGCTAGCGTCTCGAAATCTGGGTGCATACCAAGGCGGGCGGGAGTTACGTAGCATACTACTATATACCTTACCCTAAACCCTGTGCGCTCGAGCGGGCTTTACCCATCATGACGTGTCCGCAACGGCAGCGCCACGTTACGCCCCCTTAGCAGTGAGTGACGGCCGTGTACGATCGTAGCCTCGTAGGCCGTTTTGCGGGGCATGGGATTCCGGAAGAAGGCTAGGGTCTCCCCCCTGGCGGTCCCAGTTCGCTCCCAGCGTGTAGCAGCGATTGTATTGGCGAGCACACTTCAATCGTCCTCCCTTCGCTAGCGCATGGGGAACAGGCCGCGGTGATAAACACGGAATGTGGAACGTAAAAACGGAATTTGGAATGGAAAACAGAAGTGTGAATGGAAAACGGAATGAATATCGGCATGGCATCTATCGGCCACCGTAGCTATCATTTTGGTTCCATGAGCTGGCAATAGTAGGAGCCTGCATAAAATGTATTTTGTCTTCCTCGGACGAAGTTGAGTGCTCTATCAGGAGTGTACCAGGTGAGGACATGTCCAGTCACTGTACACTGGAGTGTGACACTCATATATACCCACACAGAGAGCATTGTTGCCTCCCACCACCACCAGATCAACAGTAGCAACTGAATTGTCAACCGTTTGGTAGGTCAGAAATGTATACTTACACGTCGTTGCAAAAGTGGTGAATGTAAGTAGCGCGAAGTAGAACATCTTGTATGCCGCAGACAAAAATAATATACGTGCTGGCATCGCCCTTTGCGTGCAACTTCGCGAGGGCGCCGGATGCGCATGCACATAGACGGACAGACGACAGACAGACAGATACCGAAACCCGCATGCGCGCCGAGGATTAAAATGAGAAAAACTTACTGAGGAGTGTTGCTCGACCTCTCAGAATGACGTGATCAATGCTGACTCAAGCATATTGAGGCAGTCTGTAGCAGTGGCCTTTACCAGTGCACTGCCACTAGCCTACTGTAGTGGGAAAGTTTTGTAGGGACAGACTTTTCGTACAGTCGACCCAAAACCATGAGGTAGTCAAATTTTAGTAGGTATAAACTTCATGGGATGTGTTGTTCATGCCCTTCCATAATATAATTAATAGTGTCCGCGTGTGCTGCCAATGTTTATTTTCTTACAATAATGTGCCCAACAAAAATTTCCCCGCCACACAGTTTTGTGTTTGCGTGTGTGTGTGTGTCAGTGGCAATAGTTACAGGCGGCAGTATAGTGTACGGTAGATATGACTCTCTCTCCGGAAGGGAGAATCTCCACCAGGTGGTACATGGGATTGCAGTGTCAGAACTCCGGGAGACACCTGCCACACATACATTCATATCACACCTTCGTGTATATAACTATATTATTCATGTATAGCTATAAGCTGACTTGTATCATTCGTGGCAATAGTTACAGGCGGCAGTACAGTGTACGGTAGGTATGACTCTCTCTCCGGAAGGGAGAATCTCCACCAGGTGGTACATGGGATTGCAGTGTCAGAACTCCAGGAGACACCTGCCACACAAACATTCATATCACACCTTCGTGTATATAATTATAATCCTGGGCATTCATAATTATATAGCTATTAGCTGACACAACAGTTTTCATATTATTCATGTGCAGTTTATAAGAAATAGTTACAGATAAATACACTATCAAAAAGACCAACACCCACTTTATACATCTACTGGCCTGCATCAGCACATTCTGACCATGTGAATAACACACTGTTATATTGGCATTAGCAAATAACTCTTATCACTAGTGCCTAGAGTCTGTTTTGTTCTCGCTTTACTTCAATCCTGCAATACTTAATGAAACAGGCAGGTGGGTGTGGCAGCACATACTACAGTGTGTGTGTGTGTGTGTGTGTGTGTGTGTGTGTGTGTGTCAGTGGCAATAGTTACAGGTGGCAGTATAGTGTACAGTAGATATGACTCTCTCTCCGGAAGGGAGAATCTCCACCAGGTGGTACATGGGATTGCAGTGTCAGAACTCCGGGAGACACCTGCCACACATACATTCATATCACACCTTTGTGTATATAATTATACCTTGACATTCCTGGACATTCTAAGCTGACTTGTATTATTCATGTGTAGGTAATAAGATTAACACGCTATCAAAATGGTACCAACACCCATTTTATTCATCTATCAGCCTGCATCAGCACATCCTGACCATGTGAATAACACACTGATATCGGCATTAGCAAATGACCCCTTGTTTCTTCCTTTTTGGTGCTTCAAGCCATCCCTATATCCCCCTTTCATTTTGAAGAAATGATTTTTCCACTTGTTTCCACTATTTTTCACGCCTTATGACAACACTGCATTTTCAGTCACTCTGATGTTCATGGGTGTTGTAGAGATAACTGTTGAAAGCAGAAGCTAATGGGCTGCTCCTACCTGAAGCAGGGTGTATGTGTAGTGTCTCCAACAAGGATGCAATTAGATTGTGGCACATATGGTGGGGTGGTTTCATAGGCAGGCTTCAGTAATCAGACTACAATGATAGCTATAACCTGGGGGACAAAGAATGAAGGCGCCTGGCAAGGCACGCGTAACACGGCGCAGATTGCCAAGTTGCTCCTCGTGCAAATCAACAGCAAAACGCAAGCTAGCCACTTACAAATGTGCACACTGACTTACAGAAGGCACCGAAGGATGAGAGTAGTTTTCTCTGAAGGCATCCAGTCCTGGCTTAGTCTCGTTCGTGGACCAGGTTTACGAGACAAAATGCGCGCGCGCCGCATTGGAAACGCCCTCCTCGGCGCATGCGGCTCACTGATGCTGAGTTAGCAACAAATGGCGTTGTTCAGTGACTACCGAGGAAGAGCTCAACGATCTACCGTAGTGACTTGCGGCAAGAAAGAAACGATCGCTTGATATGCATGCACACCTCCGGCAAATTCGGAGACGTTCTGTGAAAAAATCAACGCTTCAAGTGCTTCCGGTAAGGAGCTAGCGGGTCTGAAGAAGAAGAAGAAGAAGAAGAAGATGAAGAATATGATGATGACACGAAAATCGTGAAATCGCGTATGAGCGAATTCTCGCGTGGACGACTGAAGGTGCGTATGAGGTCTTGGGGGACATGTATAGGTAGATATGGGCCCGTAGACTATTGCTAGTATGTTTTGAAGGCCTAGGGAGTGATTCTCACCGAGATTTTAGTCGTTTTGTACGCGGATCACGTGAGATTTCACCCGTGTCGGCCCTATATAGAGAGTCTACCGACTCTCTGCTATGCTCTTTTATGCTCGGACTATCAGTGGTGTAATAGAGGTACTAGAATACGGGGAAAAACAAGAATCGGTAAACTCTTGCTTAATAATATTAATTTTACAGGTAGACTGGCCTGAATTACACGATAATATTATTGAACCTCTAGACATTCCGGGAGTTGAGTTGGAAGAGAATGAGGTAAGGCATAAGACTGTTGATTTGCTCCTTTATGCTCGGACTATATATCAGTGGTGTAAGGAATGTTACCGTAAAATACCCCCTTTTTGGCTGGCTTGAACGACAAAATTTGAAGGGGGTATTGCACATTTGTGTGTATGCATGCGCACCTTACACACTTTTCAGCAAACGCAACGTGTAGTAAAGGCTAAAACATGCCAAACATCAGAGACCCTACTCACTGCACGAACCTTAATCACTGCATATTTCAGGAACTCACTCTCTAGTTTTCCCAATAATTATCTCTCTCCCTCCCTCTCTTCGTATCTTCCGCTATCTACTAAGTATCTCAAACCAATCAGGGCCAGTTGCAAACCTGCTGCTGCTACTTTCGCCCTAATGAGTTTTTATTTGACCTTCCATTTTAGCGAAGCCAATTCTCCAAAAGGAGGGAAGATGTTAAAGTTGAAATACGAAGCGGGGTTGGTGGTCTGTCTGTTGATGATAATTATATGTACTATTCGTTCACTAAAAATCAAGATAAAAAGTTTCTGCGAAAATGTGAACACGGGAGTTTTGTTTACGATGTATCTTTACCGGAATTTGTTCGTGGAATTGGAAAGGATAAAAATGGTTTTCTATACGTCCTATGTTCCAGTACCAATTCAAAAGTGTTTAAATTTGATGAAGAACTGAACCCAGTGCGAAAAACAAATATACACTGTGCAGAACATTTTGGTGTGGCATATGGAATTTTGGTGACTGATGAACATGTTTTTGTTTGCGCACAAGTTAAACAAAAGGTATGCATTTTGGACTTGGACCTGAATCTTCGGTATTTCTTGAAATTATCTTTTGAACCCATTGGAATTACGAAGCTTAATGACAAGTATTTCGTTACCACTAAAGCTGCTATTGGAATCCTGGATATAGATATTGAAAATATGAAATTTAGAGTGAAAAATTGCGGGGAAATGAAGACTGATCTTAGTACTGAACAGTTCAAACCTGGAATCGCACTCCGAGGAATATGTTCTGATAACCAATACTTATATGTGACAGAGAAAGATGAGGAAAATGGAGGCCGTGTATTGTGTCTGCATTACCAAGAAAACCAGTTGATCCTCAAGTACTTCTGTCGAAATTCTTGTCAGGATTGCAAGTTGAAGAAGTGCTGCCCAGATTGTAATTGTTCACCATAATGACAAAATCATTTATAGTCAAGGAAGTTGGGGACGAAAATTTCACATTCTCAGATTAGCATATGATGGAACAACAGCTACAAGTGAGACAATTATTGACGTAGTGTGAGTTACGTCAAACAGTGCTAGTTAACTGGTAGTTTTATTTTTTCTCTTGACCAATTGTACAATTATAGCTCAGATGCTATTACTAGAACGATGCCATGCATTTTTGGGACAGCGAGCATGAACAGTTCATACTTCCACACATTGGTTAAATACATTCAGTTTGTGCACATCCCACACGGGTTGTAAGTTTAATGTCATACGACAGGTATGCTCCCATCACGAGACAATGTTACACACAGTGTCATGTGTGTCCCAGCAAGCAGGTGCAAGATGTGGTATGGGTGGTAATTATACTTCTGTACTCATCCCTCACTTTACGAGGATAGTACTGCGAGCATGCTAGTTAACACGATTGGCTACATGTTTACAGAAAGCCGAAAAACGTTCCCGAGCGTGTCAAAGAACAGTTACTTTACCAACACTCAAACGATAGCTAAATGTTTACACAAAACGCTTCATCAGAGAAAGCAGCCCAAAACGGATGGGTTGTCGTCAGAGTTTGTCGTGTTTGCGTTCCGTAGACATGTGCATACAAATAGTACAATCAGTTCATAGTCAAGTTGTTTAGAAGGTTTGGCCGGCACATGGTATCAAACACTGCAAGGTGCCTGCACATGTACAAAACCAATGAAAAGCACTAAAGTGCAAACCCTCGCGAACTAGGGATGCGGGGTTGCTAATTTGAATGGCTGGCCTGCTATTAGTAGCGTTTTCTCGTGGTCTCCCGCTAGTATCTCGAGAGAGTCTGAAACGGGCTAAGCTACAGTAGTATATAGCATGCGGGAGTTCCATACACGCCCTGTCGTTGTGACTTTCGTCTTTTCTCGTGCCTTCAAGATACACAGATCAAAGCCGAACCACGAGCCTGTGCAAATATAAGCGCATGGCGCAGTTTCCGCCGGCGATAAAAATGTCCGACTACATTATCCGTACAATGGCGGAAGCGCTCTAAGCTGTGCAAGCACGAAGTGCAAACCTCGGCGCATTAATGCATTCGGTGCACAGCTAATTGATGGGCCCTACGTAACCCTTGCTTGCAGTGCGTCAGAGGGTTATAACAACCCTCCTTACTGGCAAAACAAGGCAATGCCCCTAGTCAACACCTCATATGCACCTACATAGAGAATTGCTTATCATTTCTATCATGCAACCTCATAACAGCCTCTCTAAGCCCCATAATTCTTGAAATACGGAAGAGCATACGGAGGTAGGGATGAGGGCCGAGTCTGAGTGGTCACGCGAAGAGCAACACCAACCTCAAGCAGAATCAGCTTCCATCGTAAACATGTCATGTAGTGTACGTACGACACAACTTACCGCGGAGAGTGCTGCTCTATTCGACCTCTCAGAATGACGTTGGCCAAGATACTGACTCAGGAAAGTGCGACAGTCTGCAGCCGCTGCCTTTCACCAGTGCACTGTCACTGGCCTGAAGTTTCGCAGCAAAACATAGTACAATTAGTAATGGCCCACCAAAGAAAATTGGGCCACCCAGGTCGGAAAACCGCCACACATGAGAGAGAGAGAGAGAACTCACTCAACGGGCTCCATAGAAAATGTGTCGATGAAGAGCTGCGAGATGTCTCTGAAGGGTCCTCTTCCCGAGGCCCCTGGCCAGGTGGGGTGAGTCTGTGGAGGAGGGTCCCATGAGAGACAGGTGCTGTGGTACCTTGGTGACGGGCCCCCTCCCCCAGTGCGGCAGTAGGGAGGACACCTTGTCCCCCATCCCCTTCTTGTTGACTCAGCTCTGCCAGCACGGTGATACATCTAGTGTATGAGAGACGAGGAGAGGGGAACACAGAACACATGTGAAGAGTATGTACACACACGTAAGGATCTAGTAGGTGGGGCTTGGATTAGAGAGAAGTAACAGATAAGCCAGACCACAACTTGTTTGTGCAACGGTAGTACTGACCCCGCAGTCTTCTACGCAGGGTTTCAGATGCGTGATCCCTCTGGAAGTGAGTGTCATACATCCACGCTCTCATCTTGGGAGCCGAGAGACCACACGATGTCCATCTGACAACACACAAAACAGAACACCCCACCTCCCAACTGTAATCTCTTCAGACAGACATGGGGCAGAGAAAGAGACATCTGTCTGTGGTTCGTAAGACTGCTTACCCGCTGAGTAAGCCCGCCACCTATGTGTCACAGAGAAATGTGTGTAGTAGAGGAGAGAGATGGAGAGGTCAGACTGTTGGTCTGTGTGGGTGTCCTCCAGGGGATGTCATTCCGTCTCTGGACTACTGCTCAAACACGGCATGTCCTGGTCCAGTCCAGGGTGTCCGAGAGGACACAAAGAATGTACGTGTTTGGCTCTCACACCTGATGTTGCTGTAGACAATGCCATGCATACATACAAAGAAGTCACAAGGGTTAAGAGCAACGTCCACTCAATTTGTTGGCAGCCGGGAATACACGCTAACTAGTTGGCTCTCACACACAACGATGATGCAATGTGTACGAACCATTCGCACCGCATATAGTCAACATGTTGTATAAGCAGCATACATGCATTGTCAGGCAACAGGGGAAAACCCTGGATAATCCCCTAACTCTTACACCTACACCACACGGACATAGCCTATTATGGTCATGGAGCAGATGAGACAATCAACTCAAGTTCCTACAACGTGTTCCATACATTACGTGTGAATGTGATAGAGAAGGTAGAATATAGAACCTTGTACCTGGAGTCAGTGAGAGGCTGGGTGGCAGCCAGAGGTATTCTCTCTCTGAGTACTGACATCACCTTCTCCTCCACCTCACTCCCTGTATTACATACACACACACATGGGACACACCTAATTGTAGTACACATTAGTACAGTGTTATACCATAGACGGAGACGAGAGTGGAGAGAGAGGAGGCAGCCCCCTGTCTGACGGAGGGCATGGAGTCCTCCAGACTGGAGAAGAAAGAGAGGGGAGGAGCTGAGACAGAGTCGGTCGACACTCTTCGGGGAACGACGACATGAAGTTCCCACATGCCAGACACGCTGCTGCTCTTGTCAGTGGGTGGGGTCCATTGGTTTGTGCATGGGTATGGAGAACAAAGACATCAGTTTACTATAAATAGACAAGACACATCACACCCAACACACTCACAAATACACACAAGTTGGTGAGTACGATACACAGCTTTGTGATTGCCTGTGTCAGTAGAGTACCACTCCTGACCAGGTAGTGAGAGACCAGTAGTATTACCCACCATCTCTGACCCAGCCAGCTGTCATCTCTGAAACACTGCAGAAGAACCTTCACTAGGTCTGGGATGTGAGGTCCCAGAACTCCAGGGGTCACCTGGACACACACATACAACATTCATACTTGTAACATAATCTTGGACACTCTGTATTAGTAATGATGTGTCAGTTAAAATTTAGAGATTTGAATGGTGCCACTACATGTGAATCAAATCCCCCGTCGTTGTAAACACATCATCACCCAGCCAGCATCAGCACATTCCTCATGTGTATATATATACCATGAATAAAACTCTGCATTCACTGTAAACAGCTCCCATACAACGCAGTACATGCATACATGTCTCCATTCAAAACCACTACAGTATGCACTGTAAACACGGGGCTCTTATGTACATGTACCTTTGTGCCCAGCTCAGCAATACAGGCACATGCTGCCTCTCTGACAGCATGGTTGGCTGCCTCTGTCTGTGAGATATAGAACTCCACCACCTAGCAGACAGTGGGGCATGAATTCCTATAGCTAACACTACTACACGAGTGATGATGCTGTGTATATGTACCTGTGCAATGTATTTCTCAACAAGTTGAACTCCTTTCATTTCTGTGACTAATTTCCACGTCTCCTGGCAGTACAGCCTCACACCTTCAGCTACATAATGCCTGGGGACCACACCCAACAGTGGTATGGAGGTAAACTGACGCTTGTTTCAACATGACTTGGAGTGTATTATGCAAATACACAGTGTGTATATAGTATGTACCTGTTGAGGCAGAGGGGAGGTAGGAGGGATGGAAAGTAAGGTTCTCTTGCCTCAAGAGATGGCAGCTGAGTCAGGAACACTCGTGTCGCCACTGAGGATGACATCCTCACCTACAATAGAGTACATCACACTCAATAGCACAGCTACACAAACAATTTGTGCAAAAGGCCGAATGTAATAATACCTGACTCCAATTATCAGAGAGACCTTTGGCCAAGTTTCTGGTAATGTCAGGCCAAAAGGCTGACACACTGGCAGTAGACAACCCTATTAGATGCCCACCATAGAATCATGTAGTGTAATCTCATAGTTTTCAGTAATGATTGTCACACTAGCACACACACACAGTGCAGTATATACCCACCAGGAATGGAGATGAAGGCGGGGATGACTCTGTGGCCAGTCTCTCTAACAAACCTGTTGGTGTGACTCACACATGTGAACACCAGCTGGAAGAGGTCAGAGGTCAGATGTGGTTCAAAGGCAATGCCACACTTCTCCACCACATGCTGTAGTGCCCTGCAATGACACACACACACAAACACATACACCTCCGTACATCAAGAGAAGTACAAAACAGCTAAGCACTGAAAATAACGTATGCATAGAGAGTACAGAATCTCAACACAGTGCATGCTTTTACACAGAAATTGGGCACACATCATGTAATGTAGAGTTTTGTAATAGCAGTTGTAAAATAACCACTGAAAGGCCGCTGAAAGAGAGACCCGCTCAGTCCAGAATGAACAGACTAACATCATGTATGTCTCGAGGTGTCTCCAGCCTGCGGAGTCATGAAACACTTCAGCTGCTGTGGGAGATCCAGTCTGGGTGTAACAGAGAAGGCATGCTTCGGCAAGACTTATTGCCCTCAATTACAGGCTAGCAGTATTCATGAACTGGGTAATATGCTATAAAATATGTACATACCACGATATAGACAACCACACACACTGTGCAATTACTGCAACCCAAATTACTGACTCTCTCTGTTCTGTCTTCGGTGTGGCTATTCTCAGGAGAGGAGGAGGAGGAGGATTGGCTCAGTTTCTGGGTCAGTTGAGTGTCAACCTCTCCACTGTCTCGCTCCAGGTTGCCCTCTATTCCTCCAGTGATGTAGGGTAGCACCTCCCTACACATACCCTCACCCCCCACAGCACACAGGACACCTGCCACCTCACCTGGTGGAGGGCAACACACTCCCTTTAGTAATCACACAACACACATAGTACAGGAACACTCCCGAGGGAGAAAGTTTTAGCTTGTTTTGCATTTCTAAGCCGTCCGTGAAGGGTTCACTTGGCTCACCAGCAGCAAGTCTCACTCTAGATTCATTATATTCCAATAGCAAAGGGACCGCTTCATCTTATTATGAATTGGGTGAGCTCAGGC